GTAGCATGGTCCTTATTTTTCTGTGCGCGTATTTCCGAAAAGGAAATGAGGGCTAGATTCAAAACTAATTGACGACTCGTAAGCGAGAGAAATCACTCACGTGGTATCATTATTGTACCCATCTAGAAATATAGGGACCAAAATTCAAAGTTTGGACCGGAGAACTCATGGTCAATTCATGTTCTGTACAATTTTGTTGCATTTCCATTAAAATTTATATCTACTATATATAAAAGCTGATGAGAAATCCATGCTCAATTTCAACTCCAATTTTCCCGCCAATTTTAAACAATCCAATGGCTATTACAGGTTTGGTACACTTGGCACAAATCCATACAATCTGACCCATGCTTTTATTACAATCACAAAAGGCCGAACAAAATGGCATCACAATCCAGCAACTTTACAATTATAGGTGGACAAAATTGTTAAAGTAATGTCTATCCACCAGTAAAATTACAGGTACATTCCTTGAATCTTCCACTTCATCCCCACAAAATGGTCCAGGCATATGCAGTGTTCAAGAGGCTGCAATATGGACACAAAAAAAACACAAATTCTATTTCAATTTATACAAATACCAGAAATTATAAATAGTTTATAATTTCTATACAAAAAGTAGAGATTTTTGTGAGGCTCATAAATGTTTTTCCATTGGAAAATAAGAAGATAAGACCGTCATGGCTGCAACCCCGGTGTCCGTGTCAATTTCCAAGTAACTAGGCCAAGATACGAATCATATCATCAAATTGAAATAACCCGGCATTGAAAAATACACAACTATCATCACAGCCTCTTTAAAATTTCTACCGAATTGTATTCCAATTTTACAAGAGGAACCATGGAACATGGTCCCTACAATTCATGACAAGTACGCATTGCAAGTGGTAGAGACCAAAAAAGTCAGTTCCTGCCCTCCAAATCTGCATATATTATAGCATTCAACTCATAGGGCTTAAAAAAATCTCTTCATAATTAATGTGCAAACTTAAAAATTTTTAATTTGAAAACCCTGAACTAATAAATATTTAAACATCAAGGTTGAATTGAGAGCAAATTGGGTGACCTTAACAATTGTAATCATTCAATGTTTCAATTCATTAAGGGAAACATGACAAAACAAGATTTTGGAGTTAGTCATTTGTATGTCTTATAGGTTAATAACCCCTTATCATAAACTTCCAAGTTTTTTTTTTAATAATTACCAATGGTGGACACCCTTTCTGCCCATTTCTTCCTGGACAACACCTTACCCCTTCATATTCATTTAGGGTTATATATTAATAAAATGGCCTGAATCAAAATATTATATAAGAGTGTAGTGTTCTATTTCAGTTTGTTCTATATTTCTTGCTTATACCCATATACTAATATACTCTACGCTTACATATCAAATGAAGAACTCATTCTCAAATGACAAAGTCCATGGAAAAGAAAGAGGCTTCATACCAACACAGGTGAACATACATTTTACTTGACAATATATTACTTTTATGTCTTTTATTTTGTAAACACAGTTCAAATTGTATATATATTGAAAAGGCTAAGATGATATACATGAAATATGCATTACCATCAAATTATAGCAACCATTGGTGCAACCACGGTATCAATTTCCGGATAGCCACGTCAAGATACGAATCATTTCATAAAATTTTAGCAACCCAATATGAGAAAATACATTAACCTATCATCACAACCTCTTTAAATCTTTAAACATATGAGTAGAATGGGAATGTAGTTTTATTCACTTTTGTATATTCGAATAAGCTGTTAAAAATAGTCCTAGAGTTCAGGAAACAGCTAATTTTGGTAGAACTTGAAAATTATACGGATTCGATGTTTTAACTTCCTAAGGTAAACATCACAAAAAAATTGGGAGTTAGTCATTGGTATGTCTCCTATATTAAAAGAACCCATAGCATATACTTCGAAGTAATCTTCCAACCATTACCAGTGGTGGACACCATTTCCATCTTTTTCTGCTTGGACAAATAAGCCCTTCGTATCCATTTAAGGTTGTACATTTATTATAAAGGATGGGCTGATTCAAAATATAATATAAGACTCCTGGTTTTTTTATTCCAGTCTCCTATATCTTTCCTGCATATAGTAATATACTCATACAATCTAACCTTTCAAATCAAATGAAGCACTCATGCTCCAGTGACAAAGAGCAAGGAAAAAGAATGAGGTTCCACAGCAGGTAAACACATATTGAAAATATTAACATAAGAAATCAGGGATGCATTAACTATTAAATTACACATCAAAATTATATTTATTATCTTATAGAACTTATCATTCTTTATAGAAAAATACATTTCATAACACTTAGATGTAAGAACTCCTAACACACACTCTACTTATTTTATGAAAAATACATAAATAATAACTGTGAATTAATGTATTTTTATGTAGCAAAAACATTTTTTTACGCATCTACTATATATATAAAAGCCCATGAGAAATTTTTGCCAATTTCATTCCTGATTTTCCCGCCATATTTACATATCCTAGGGATGAGAATAGTTTGCTACACGTGGCATCATCTAATGAGATCTCTATCTTTTAAGACATACAATCAATTCTGGACAAAAGAGGGTTATCCCCACAGCTAGAATTCCAGTACATGCTATCTCCAGAGAGCCAGTCCAAGCGAAGTGAACACAAGCCAAGTAGTTCACTGAAAAATGACAAAAAAACTTTATTTAGACTCTGAATTTTTTCCAAGCGAAGTGAACACATACCATAAATTTATTTAGACTCTGAATTTAACGAAGTTGATACACATGGATATGTGATTGCCATGGCTGCA